ATCAAATAAGAATTGCTGAGTACTATACTATGCAAATTAGTGGAATTACAACCGAAATAGGTCATCTGTGATTAGCATAAAATAGCATGTTTCACAGCAAGCCTGCAAATTTCACTGTGATGCTGAGATAAGAAAGCTGGGATGGCCAATTTATAACAACGACCTCTAGGCATCATTTGCCTGAAGAAATGTGATGGAGAGCTAATGGGAGATTAGAGGCAGAACAAAGTCAGACAGAAGTCGCCAGATGGCTACATGTGAGTTGTTCTGTGGTTCACAGACTTTGGCAGCAATTTTGAATCACAAATTCAGCATCCAGGAGGTTTAGCCAAGAACACCCAACCACTATGACCAGCACTGACGACTGATATTTTTTGTTATGTGTACGAAAGAATAGAACCTCAGCTCTGACCCAACTCAGATCCTCCCTTGCTGCAGCCACTTGGAAGGTTGGTGTCAACCTCAACTTTGCATAGAAGGCTTCACAAAGGAGGTCTGTAAGCGAGGTAACCAGCCTTTCGCATGCCACTCATGTCATCTCCTAGAAGGGAATGTTTGAGGTGGGCACATCAACATGTCCACTGGACAGCTGATAGATGGAGGGGTGCTCTCTTTACAGATGAGTCTGGGTTTAACCTCCAAAGTGATAGTAAGCATTATTTGATTTGGAGGGTACTTAGAACCCTTTATCATCCATTAACCTTTTGAAGACGGGATGGCCATTATAGTGGCCATAAAGTTCTCTCTGTGAAAAGACAGGGTTGTCCACTTTAGTGGCCATGTGTTTTTTTTCCATTTTCCAGGCTGAAAAGTGGCGTGAAATGTCGAATTTGACGTCCCTGGGGTTTTAACCATTTATCTCTTTCAAAGGTCTTCCTTTTGCGACATAGATGCACCCCTCCGAGAATCCATTAAACTACACACAAGAATCTTTGTTGCAAATAGGAGGTGATTTCTTAAAGGGGGGAAATCATTCGGTTCAAGATTCCCTGTCCTTTGGTAGCTTTTACTGCTACCAAAGCCCCGGCCTCAAAAGGTTAAACATTGATGAGAGAGATGCATACAGAGAAGGCAGTGTCTGTATTTGGGGTGATATCTCTTTGGGTGGATGCACAAACCTCTATGTGTTTCCATGTGGAACCATGAATGCTCTGGTCTATAGAGATGATATCCTTGATGTTTATGTGTGACGTCGATGCTAAACTGCACAAGGCTTGCATCACGGATGATTACTTTCTGTAGCAAACAATTCGGCGCATGGAGTGGCCAGCTTGATCACCGGATCTGAATCCTATTGAGCACGCTTGGGATGCTTTGGGAAGACATATAGCTGCTCTCAATCTTCCTCTTCAGACCTTTTCTAGGCTTGCAAATGCTTTTCAAGAGCCTATGGACACAGAGGACTTCTTATGGAACTGATAGACTGCATAACTGACAGCATCGCACATCGCTGTATGTGTTGTATTGTTTCTATGGGAGATCATACCCCATACAGAAGGTAACTTTCTTATACCAAACTGACACATCCGAGTTGTTCATTTTATACATATGCTAATTTCTATAACATTAATTGTCTGGTAAGTCTTTCACATTATCTTATACCTTACTACGTGTTATATACTGTGGGTCAGTTTCATTAAATTCTACATGTAACTTTTTGAGTAATCGTCATTTTTGTGATTTTTCCTTAATTAATTATAACCAGTGTATACATGTGATGTAACAATATTCATACCATGTTCGCCTTCATCTGATTTAACCACAATTAATTCTCAATAAGCCACCTTTTGTTTTTGTGAATACAGATATAGATTAATTGTTACTGCTATATTTAATTATTAAAAAAATTACTAAAATCTGGTATCTGCTTTCTACAGAATAGTATACAGTGAATTATTTTCAAAATTATGAGATCCGGTCATTTTAAAAAAATAATAATATGAACACAATACAATCTGCTGAATATAATCGACAAACCAGTCACACACTGAAACAGTTACTGGCAGAAAATTTGTACTTATAGCATTCTGAACAGGGCTTCAGTGAAATCGGAATGTCTGTCACAATATATTCATTTCCAAAATAGTAGAAATAAATGAAAACCTTTTCACAAAGCACAAAAATTAAGTGGGTCAAATACTGGTTATTCTTTATCAAATAGAGGCCTCGGTTCCTCCAAAATCAAATAGAAAAAAATGGCACAATTTTGGGCAGATCTCTGCCAATTTTTATGCTTGACAGGATAACACATACTGTTTTTTTTTCTGAATTTACTCCTATTCTTGCATAACTTGACAGTGTGTTATTTTCGCGAAGAATTTACCCAAAATCCAAAACTCATACATAAGATGAAATAGAGAAACTCCTCCTTAATGCTCAAGCATGTTGCCATGAAGGCAAAAAAAAATGTTGCCAAGCAGGTAAGCAGGTGAATTGTTTTCCAATCAAATCACTGTACAGCAAAATGGCAGATGCCAATTTTAACTCTGCTAACGCTATTTAAAGGTAACACATTTTTTTCACATTCATTCATTGCCTTGCATACAGTCTGTGGTATCTGTGCCATTTTAATTTTTGTCTGAAAGATGAGTGGGAAGAGAAATTCTTATACAGTAGATTTCAAACTACAGGTGATTGCGTTGGATGGAAATTCCAACAACAACATGGCTGCTCAGCATTTCTTCATAAATGAAAAACAAGCTCAGGAGTAGAGAAAGCAGGGTGCAAATTTTGACATCATCAGATTTTTTTATTTTGGTGACAACGCACCAAATCACCCATACAAACATTTTACAGAATAAAACAACTCATTTCCATAAAAAGAATACCTTATTTCATTTAAAATTAACGTTTCATAAATGTAACTTATACAAACTATCAGTTCATACACAGAAATATATGGTTCAATACCTATTTCTGAAAACACAGTTTTGTAGTGTTAGTGAAATAGCAATAAATTTAAAATTCATTCATACTTATAAAATGGAATATCCCCACCAAGTAATAATAATAATTCACATGGTAACAAATAATCCATTTTTACAGTAAAACCGAATAAGAATGCAAGTTTTAAAAGGTTTATTAATTAACAAACTTTTTAAAACCTTTAGCAAAAAAAAAAAAAAAAAGATATTTAAAGCACACTGCTTAAACTTTATCAACTGGAAAATGAATATTATATTTTTATATTTAGATGCAGCACATTTCCCTCTAAAAAACTAAAAATTTAAATATTTTATTTTATTTGCACATTTTGAATGCATTACCCGATCACTGAGGAATTACCCAATTAAGCAACATGAAGGTAAACCTTAAGAAGATATGTTGAATCTTTCTCCCTTATCTACCAACCCTTCCTACCATGACTTTTTTTATGAAGGACATTTAATTCAGACTACCAAAATTTCAAATATTTGGGTTTTAGAAAATTTTCCTGGAGATCACATATGAAGAATACAATACGTTGAGCATTGAGGAAGCTCTCTCTTAAAGGTTTTATCAAGTTCCAAGTAGGGTTGCTCAATACTCACATCACTTTTAAGACCTATATTTTATCTATTTTGACATACCGTGAACCACTAATCACTTCCTTTAAAGAAATTCTCAATAGTTGGGAAACCTTTGAGAATCAGGGATTGCATCTAATTACTAGTGCAGAAAAAATAACTAATATTGCCTGCATGCAGCTATGTAAAAATAACAGACCTATTAGTGTGATATCTGAGAAAGTTCTGTACTTCTTGGAGAGAAATTTATATGAACACAGGGATTCCTGTCCCTTTGGGATCAGGTTTCCTTTGGGCCTGAGCAGTATCTAAAGACACAAAGTGGTTTTGTGAGGAGGTTCCTAAGGTGATTTCAAGTTTGAGCCTTAACTTTGAGATTTAACATTTCTTACTAGCTTGTAACCCTGCTGAAAACAAGAGTTTCTCCACCTGCCTCAGACTTGAACAAGAAGTGTTTAAAACCAACAAAAATGAAAACATGCTCAAAGCTCTGACAAATGAAACTATAAATTCTTACTACTCAGAAGAAAAATGGTTGTGAGTGTGTACCAATAGTTCCAGAGTGGGTGATTTCATTAATGCCAGTGCAGGTGTTCATTGTAAGTTATTTTCTTTATACACACCCACTGGCCTATATGCAACTGCTCTTGATTGTGAAAATGGAGCAACTACAACTACATACCCGTCTGAGCATTTTTCAAAAGTGATCTTCTAATTTGATTCCAGAACTAACCTTTAACCTTACAAACTTTAACATTTAACCGCTCTTCAACTGTTGATTAACATTTCAATCTTCTTAACTAGTTCTCAAATATTAAAGAGGTTATACAATGGATTTCAGCCCAGTATGGAGTTCAGGTAATGAGGCCGCTGATTTCTTGGCTAAGAAGGGAGCTTCTGTCCTTTATACATCACAATCTGATCTTCCCTACAACTCCGTTAAGTCAGGATTAGTTAGGAGAGCACACAGAACATGCAAAGTTCCTTTTCCCAAGCACGTGCAAACAGAATTAGAAGGTTTAGAAAGATTCTTGAAGTACCCAAATGGCATAGAAAGAAATCCGTCGCATTGTTTCATCATACATCTGGCCATGATTTCTTTCATAAGCACCTCCAACTCAATATCACTCCTGACTCTCTTTGTCCATTATGCAAACATAGACTTGCCACATCTTCACCAATGCCCTACCCTTCCTCATATTTTGAATTAGAAACTGTTACTCTGGGCGAGGAACACTGAATTTATAAATATACTGATGTCAATTTTCTCGCCTTGTATTTTATTTAATGTTCAGTTTTGTATTTTATTTAATGTTCAGTTATCTTGTAATGTGCCATTAGAAAAAAAAAAAATTTTTTTAATGCATCAGCTTATTTAGTTATTTTTACTACATTTCTTATTCTCAAAAAAGGAATGTAATGAAGATAGTTTTTAAAAAGTAATGATACAAGAATATCTGTTAAAGATGCAAATGAAATTCTCAAAGATTTTACCTCTTCCATAAAACTAATGGTGTCATTCACCCGCACAGTTCCTATCTGTTCACCTTGCAGAGATGGGTGGCTTCGTATTCTCAAGCCAGCACTAAATTTACCAGCAAATTTTCGTACCTAAATGGAAAACAAATATATAAACATAACTTACATATCCATATAATATATAAAACATATACATATATCTTATATAAACATAATTTACATATCCCTAATTTACAGTCATCTGCTATATTATATATTATCTCAAATTCAGCTTAGGAAACAAATAGTTATAGCAACAAATATAAAATTAGAAATAAAAAATATAACTTATGAAACTAGAATTAAAATATCTTTGTAAAAATATAATTAATAAAGATGAATGTTTTAAGTTTTATATATGAAAGTAAATTTTAGTGAAATTCAGCACAGGCAAAACACAATATCTACAATACAAAGTCCAAAATCCAGACATCCAATATCCAGAATGATCTAATATCCAGACCTCACACCACAGGCATTTTTTTTTAAATAAAATTTTGAAATGGAAAATACAATACTCCAGGAAAGGCAGATGTGTTGCAAAAGTGAGTATTTTTCTCATTAAGCAAGAAGCATGCAGGTGTTTGAAGACTTCGAACACCTGCTGGCTAGGGAATTTTATCATGGATAATAACAAGATATTGATTGATATTAGCTGCAACCACATTTTCAGTCTTGAGTAAATGGGTATGAAGGGGTTAATGCTTTTTAGATTTTGGACACTACAGATTGGGAGTTTCTCCAATTAATGGAATTGTGAAGAACTGATAATAAATGAAGATGATATAACATAAATTTCCCATTGAGATGACAATGCCCAAATTAGTAATCAACTAATGGATGGCAAAATCTGCAGTATTGTTTTAAATCCAGTGAAGTAACAAATACATTTCTGGGAATGAAAAAATATTGATTGACAATTTAGTGGAAATTGTTGACCCATCAATTGCAGAACTTGAACAATGGAACTTTTTTAAAAAAAGAAAGAAAGAAAGAAAGAAAGACAACACAGAAAAGCTTACACAATTTCTATTAAAAGAAATATTTAATAAAAACTAACAAATATTGAGCTTTTTTTGTAAATTTTGGTTCCCTTAAAGTTATAAAAACTTCATTATTCTATAAACAACCATTTAATACTTTTATAATTTCTACATGTTATCTTAACAGCTGTAAACTAATGATTTAAAATCTGGAAATTTCTAAAATCTGGAATTGCTGAATCCCAAAGAGTCCAGATCTCAGACTTTGAACTGTACTTGCTTTTATTCCTGCCCCGTAAGTAACACTAGGAATGTTAAAATAATGTTGTATAAACTAAATTGCACTGGATTTCTATCAATGCAGATTTCAGGTTTAAAGAAAGTTCATCAATTTCACTTCTTTGTCTGTAGATTAAAAGAGTCTGAAATTAACAACATCTATGATTGAAATTATAAATGCAGACTTGATCTGCATACAAACTTACATTTAAGAAATCAGAGGATACTAAGTTGGTGTTGGTGTATTTAATTATGGCAAAGCACACTAGGGCTATCTGCCTAAGGGGAGGGATGCCTTCGTGGAGGACTTTCTAAGGAAAACTGGCTCGTATACATGTTACACATGGGGAAAACCACGAAAACACCCATGCAGCCAGCCCGTTCGCGGGATTCGAACCTCGGACTGAACTACTAGTAGAGGATACTAAGAAACAGAAAACTGAAATAACTATGCAACTGACAATTAAAAAAAGGTGGCATTTTTATTCATGCTATTAATACATATATGTATCCAAACATTAAATACATGACATTAGAAATGTCTTTCTTGACCTAAACTCATGTTGTAAGCGCTTATAAAAAAATCATCTCTTAAGTATGAGGTAAATTATAATAAGCAAATATATTATTAAAAACGTTATGCAACTTATTAATGGAATAAAGATAAAAGTTTTACAAAATTTATGAATTAGTTATACAAGGGTTGTTCAAAAAGTAGGTTCTGTAACCTTATAAATGGAGACAGATGTGGACAAAGATACATATTTAATAACGATTTACAAATATTACACTACTTTTTGACATATCCATGCAGCATTATTAAGGCATTTATTGTATCAAGACACAAAGTTTTGAATGCAAGCATAATAGAAGGTGGCCAGCTGTGTGGCTAGCCAGGATGTTACAGCACCTTTATTTCATCATTGTTATTTAAATGCTTGTCCCTCAAGAATCCCTTCAAATGCAAGAATATGTGAAAGTCATTTGGTGTCAAGTCAGGACTATACAATGGATAAATCATTAATAAAATAACACTAAAGCAAGCTGCATTTCAACTTGTACTATACAACTTTCCTCTGTTGAATTTTCTTATTTTCATACTTACATTCACTTTTTTTAATGGTACGTATACAAAGAATGCAAATCTTTATGCATACATTATAAGCTCTTCATCATATTTCACAATTATACAGAAAAAAAAAAAAAAAAAAAGGCTTTTACTCATTTAATCTATTTAGTAAGAGCTCCATCAAATGAAATTAAAATTGCACTATTTCATGCAGGGAAAAAGAGATTGGATTATTTAAAAATGGCAAAGTTAATAACAGTTTTCATAAATATGCCTTTCAAAAAACAAAAAAAAAAAAAAAAAAACAAAAAAAACTCTCAAGGAAAACTAAATTATCATGCCTCACAACAAGAATCATCAAAAATACTTATGTAGTTAACTTGTTTAGTTAGCTTAAATCATGAATTGATTTCAAGACAGATTTGCTAAGATGTTGAATACAACTTCATTTGTGCAGTTAACAAAATTCTGGAGAAAGAATTCTGGCAAATTATAAAGCCATCGCATGCAATTTTTTACATCAAGTCTATGATGGAAGTTTTTCCAATCTTTCGCAAAGCAAGAGAGTATAAGAATTAAATTTAATCTTATAAGAATTAAATTTAATCTTCCATTCTGAAATTAAATATAAAATCTATTTGGAACAAAAGCGATGTCTTAAGTTTATAAGCATTATGCATATTTAATTAGTGTTATGAAAGGAAATAGCCTATATGAAAGCCTGACAGCATAGAAAGCACAATTATTTTGTTTTATTTCATATTTTCTTATTTGCTTCACATAAAAATTACATACTTTTATTTTCTAAAATACATTAAAAACCTACTCGATTAGGCTGATGTATGGTTTTTGGAGTTACTTGCTTTGTGGGGATAAGAAGACCTTGTGGTGGCTCTTTAACTTCCACTGACTTCTGCTGTGAACCGCCTGAAAGAAAAAAAAAAAAAAAAATTAGTAAACATTTTCTGATAACTCAGTTTAACATCAATTTTTATATTAAAATTTTTAATATCAAATATAAAAAAATTGGTTTTCATACCCAGTTTAATGCAGTGCATTCTAAAAATATACTGATGCAATTTTTAATATAATACATTAAAACACTAAAATATACCATGCTGAATATTTGAAATTACAAATACTTTTTAAAAAAGTCAAATGGAAAGAGAAACCTGCCAATATAAAATTTAAAATTAGGCAAAAAAGCAGCCTGAGACTGGCACATATTTTGAATAAAACTCTATCAAAGAGAGATAGCACTTTTTTTTATCGCACAAACACAAAAATATTTTTTCAAAAATGGGAGAAACACAATCATTTTATATTGAAAGCAAAGCAATGAGTGAAGTGAAGCAAAGGATTCTTTCTACTGCTTTTAGAATTCTAATATCCTAATTTTTCATGTTTTATCATCACTTACTTCAACAGATGGCACTACATATATTTTCACTTTGCCTTGTCCATTGCTTTCAATATAAAATGATTGTATTCATTCTTCGCATTGCTACGGTTACCAGAAGAAGTGAGTTGCAAAAGATTTTTTTTTTTTTTTTTTTTTTCAAATGCTTGTTTATTTACAGTGCCAAATTTAAAGGACCATGTAGAATTCTCTGCATGAAAAAACTTCAAACCACTCCTTTACATCAAGCCAGGCAGCATGGTGGAGAGAGATTTAAGTGCACAAATACTGGACCAACACTCTCTATTAGTATACTAGAGACAGCAAGACTGCAACAAAAAAACTGTCATTATTCCACGATACAGAAGTGCCAGTCATGAAAGCACTGGATTTTCTAACTGAAATAATTTTGGTTCGCAATCTTCATTTGCTGTGCGATCTGCTCTTTGGATGATCACTGGTCATGCTTTCTTCAAATACTTGGAGGATCTGCAGGTGCATTTAAATGTTCAATGGCTTTGCTAGGAAAAGGATCAACACAGCAACCAAGAGAATGAAGAGGAGATATAATGCTAAGTCCATGGAGAGGGAGTTCGAAGAAATAGATCAAGTCTGGTTGTGGAATCCCAAGAGATACCAAGGGATCTCAACAAAGTTTTGTCATTTTGGCGACACACTGCGTTTCTGTGGCAACCCTAAAGAATTTGTCTGTCACGAGGATCACGTGCCCAGATGCATCATTACGTCTACGTCTGCTTTTCTGTTTGATAGTTAGTTGCATTTAAGATTTTGTAGAATTAGAAATGGCGTGAAAATAAATGTTGGTGTTTTTAAAAAGTGTCGGCTCAGATTTTCGAACCTATGATTTACTTGTTAAGCAACAAATTTGGCGAGCCAGCCAGGATGAATGTCACAGGGTGACATTATCGATTTCGACACTTGATAATTTACGAAAATAAGAGAAGTTCCTAGGTGCAAACATGGATGATTTAGAAACACTAAAACAGAAGCGGAAAGCAATTAGGAGTGTATTTACGAAAACAGCTAATAAGTTAGATGAACTGATACGATCAGATTCTCCGGATTTGGACGATTTAGAAATTTATTTAGATCAAATTTCAGAGAAGTATAAAACTTTACGAAATACGGATGACTCTTTTTTGGAACTTCTACAGAAAAAAGGATGTACTCAAGAAGAAGAATACGAAAGAGAATTTAGTGCAGCTCAAGAATATTACGATAAATTATCTACGTTGAAAGTAAAAGCCAACAGGAAAAAGGGTTCACAGCCTTCTACTGGTTCAACGAATAGCGGTTCTTCATCAGGAATAGTTACGGCCGCAAAACAGAAACTGCCAGAGATCGAACTGGTGAAGTTCGATGGAGACTCCCGAAAGTGGTTGACATTTTGGACGAGGTTTAGTAAAATACATGAAGATACTCGCATCGACAAGAGAGACAAGTTTCATTATCTACTACAATCTACGAAACCTGAGACTGCGCCAAGAGCAATAGTGGAGAGTTTTCCTGCTACGGAAGAAAATTACGAAAAAGCCGTGGAGTATCTCAAAGAACGATTTGGAAATGAAAATGTTTTAATTCAAATTTATGTTAGAGAGCTATTAAAACTGGTAATCAATGACAAACAAAAGATAGACTTATTAACTCTTTATGACAAGTTGCAAACTCAACTACGCGCATTGGAATCACTCGGTTTAACTAAAGATAAATTTGCAGTTGTTTTATTTCCTTTAGTGGAATCAGCACTTCCTGCTGATTTAATACAAATTTGGGAAAGACAACGAGGTATGTCTCCTGAAACAACAGGTAAGAGTGATTTGGAGAGTCATTAATTGATTTTCTAAAAAGGGAAGTAGAAACTGAATTTAGAGTTAAACTTACCCGTGATGTTTTGGGTTCTGATAAAGTAAGTAATAAGAAAAATAAGTTTTTTGACACAAAACCTGTTGTTCCAACTGCATGTGAACTAATTAATGCAAATAGTAGTAATAGTAGTAAGTGTAATGAAAATTTTCAAAAGTATAAAAAGTCTGATACTTGTATTTTTTGTGAAAAATCCCATTTGTCTGAAAGTTGTAAAGATGCATCTTTAATGAGTTTAGAATGTAAGAAAGATATTATTAAGAAAAAGAATGTTTGTTTTGTGTGCCTTAAGAAAAACCATAGAGCAAATCAGTGCACAGCTAAACATAGGTGTACCTTATGTAAAAATCGACATTTTGTGATTATGTGTCCCTGATTTGCCTTCTAACAAAACAAAAAGTGTCACAAAGTTAGGGAATGACGAAAACAAAACAGGCATTCTTAATAACTATGTTAAGGTATCAGATGTATATCTTCAAACTTTAATTGTAAAAATTCAGAATGGTTCTAAAGAAATGTTTGTACGAGCAATTTATGATAGTGGTTCTATGAAATCATATTTATGTAATGATGTTGCTCAAAGGTTAAATTGTAAGTGTATTGGTGAATCAAAAATTAAGCAATTTCTTTTTGGTGGAGTTGAGACTTCAGAAAATGTATATAAAAACTATGTTATTGAAGTAAGCAATATATATAGTAAATATAAGTGTAAATTAGAGGTACTTGGTCAAAACAAAATTTGTTCTGAAATTAAGCAACTCCCATCTGGTTCGTGGTTACGCGAACTTAAGTCACATGGTATCAAATTAAGTGATTTAGAAAATGGTACATGTAAGGTAGATAAAGAGATAAAATTACTAATTGGTGCGGATTTTGCTGGTAAGTTGCTAACTGGAAAAATTGTTCCCCTTACGTGCGGCGTCAGCGCGGTGCATACGCAATTAGGCTGGACTGTTATGGGTAAATTTACTGGCACTGAGCCAACTACGATAAATACTGCATCCCTCCTAATTTCTTCTCTGTTAGTGAAGGGTCAATGTATAAGTGATCTCTGGAAGTTAGATGTTTTGGGTATTGGTGAACCTTCCGTAAGTAAAACCAAAACTCAGTTACAGGAGGATACGCAAAAATATTTTGAAGAGACTCTTACGGTAAATTCAGAGGGAAGGTACGAAGTAGCATTACCTTGGGTGTTGGATAGCTCGCTTTTACCCGAAAACAAAGTGATAGCAGAAAAATCTCTTGTAAGTACTAAAAGAAAATAAATGACTACGGGAAATTTTGACGCTTACGGAGACGTTTTCCAGAACTGGTTAGCACTCGGGATAATTGAAAAAGTACGGGATAAGAATAAATATAAGGGTGTACATTATTTACCTCATAGAGCAGTTGTTAAAGAAAATTATAGCACGAGTATAAGACCAGTGTTTAACGCACTGGACCAAATTTAATTGAAATTATACCTTCGATTCTTAATCGGTTTCGCAAGAATTACGTTGGTGTCACTTCAGATATAGAAAAAGCGTTCTTGCAAATATCTATAAGAGAAAAAGATCGAGACTTTTTTAGATTTATGTGGTTTAGTAGGGATAATCAAGAACAAGTTGAACTGTATCGGCATGGAAGGGTAATTTTTGGTATTACGTGTAGTCCGTATTTATTGGCCGCTACAATACAATATCATTTGAGTGTAGTTCCCGAAAGCTTAAGTCATACAGCGGAGATTTTGAAAACATCCTTTTACGTAGATAACTGTGTGGCTAGTATGGAATTCAGAAATAGAAATGAGAAAGTTTGTAAATGAATCACAAATAATTATGGCTTCGGGTCATTTTAATTTAAGATTCTGGAAATCCAATATAAGAAGTGTTGTGCCAGAGGAAGATTCCTCCACGGAAGGAGATGTGTCTGTTTTGGGCCTTGTATGGCATACAGTTACAGATACCTTATCTTGCAAAATAAGTCAAGATATAAAATTGGATGACCCAGTTACTAAAAGACTAGTTTTAGCAGTAGCTCATCAGGTGTTTGACGTTATAGGGTATACGGCTCCTGTAATGTTGATTCCAAAACTAATTTTACAGGAAACTTGGAATTTAAGGCTTAAATGGGACGATGTTCTTCCCGATGAATTAACCAAAAAGTTTAGGTTTTGGCTTAAAAAGTTGTACTTGCTATCCAGTATCCAAATACCTAGATGGGTAGGTCTCAAATCTATTAATGAAGCTGTGAGTATACATCTCTTTTGTGACAGTAGTAAAAGTGCGTATGGTGCATGCGTCTTTTTAAGAGTACAGAGTGGCAAAAAGGTGAAGGTTAGTTTGATACACGCAAGATCGAGAGTAGCTCCTTTAAAACCTATTACGATTCCTCGATTAGAACTTCTTGCTTGTAATATTGGTTCTAGGTTATTGTCTTCAGTTATTAATGATATTGGCCTACATGAAGTTCGTATTCATTGTTGGACTGACTCCTCGACGGCTTTAAGTTGGATACGGCGAAATCAACGTTGGGGAGCATTCGTTTTTAATCGTGTACAGGAAATCAGGTCGTTGACCTCCCCCACTGTATGGCGACATGTCCCTGGTAGTCTCAATCCTGCTGACCTACTTTCTAGAGGTTGTTATGCAGATCAATTAATAGAACGAAAATGGTGGGAGGGACCTGATTGGTTACGGGAAGATGAGGCAAATTGGCCTAAATCTAATGATGAACCAGATGAGGATTTGGTTAATTCAGAAATACGTAAGACAGTTATTGTTACGTTGGCAAAGAGTGATAATTGTATTGGATGGTACTATAAGTATTTCTCATCATTTAAGAAAATTGTAAGAATGTTATCATGGATATTCAGATTTTATAATAATGTACGTAAGAATAATAATAACAACCATTCTAAGGATTTGACTGTATCTGAAATAGAAAGGGGAGAAATAGCTTTAATGTTATTAATACAAAAAGAGTCGTTTAATGGTGAAACAGATGATAAGATAAGCTAAGACGACTCAGACCATTTGTCGATAGTCAGGGTCTAATAAGAGCTAAGTCTAATGTTGCTTATCGTGACGACTCTAGCAGCTTTAAGTTCCCCATCATATTACCTTCTGAGCATCCAGTAGTCAAATTATTGATATTAAGTGCACACAAAGATTTGTTGCATGCAGGTACTACATTATTGATGTCGCATTTAAGAGAAAGATACTGGATCTTAAAATCACGTAAAACTATAAGGAACTGTATAAGAAAATGTGTAACATGTCAGAGATTTAAGGCTAAAAGAGGTGTGAGACAGTCCCAGGCGTTTTACCAAATGATAGGGTTCGTGATTCAGCCATTTTTGAAATCGTAGGGTGTGATCTTGCAGGACCCTTGCATTTAAAGGATGGACGAAAATCGTATATTGTGCTCTTCACCTGTGCGGTTTATCGTGCTATCCATATGGAACTGGTTACCTCATTAACAACTGAATCATTTTTTTTCAAGCTTTAAGGCGTTTTATCGCACATCGTGGACGCCCTACCACCATATATTCCGATAATGGGAAAAATTTTGTGGGTGCAGAGAGAGTTCTGCAAACCATTGACTGGGACAGCCTCTGCTCTAAGGCTGCTGAAAAGAGAATACAATGGAAATTTAATCCTCCATCCGCCGCTTGGTGGGGTGGATGGTGGGAAGCGTTTAATACAAATTGTAAAACAAATATTAAGAAAAATTTTAGGTCGTGCTTCTCTTGGTTATGAAGAGTTACTCACCGTCTTGTGTGATTGTGAAAGAATTGTCAACTCAAGACCACTTACGTACGTGTCTGACGATATTGAAGATCCCTTGCCTTTAACTCCAGAAAAATTTCTGCATGAAACTCCACAGTCGGGTGTACCTGATATTGACAATGTGGACAAAGAAAAATTGAGTAGAAGAGCGAAGTATCTCCAGAGAATGAGAGAATTGTTAAGAGTGAGATTTCGCTCTGAGTATCTAGGGCAGTTAAGACAGCAGTCTACCAGAAATTACAAAAATAAACCTCTCTCTGTAGGAGAAATTGTCTTGCTGGAGGATCAAAATAAAAACCGTGCATATTGGAATTTAGCACGCGTTATTCGGGTGATCCCTGGTCGAGATGGCAACATAAGAGTTGCTCTTGTAAAAAGTAATAATTCAGAGTTCTTGAGACCAATACAGAGATTGTTTAGATTGGAACTGGATAATATAATAGATAATACTCAAAATGAGCAAGTTCCTTTCACCACCAGTAGTGGTAGAGTTGTAAAATCACGAATAATGTAATTTATGTCTTTGAGTTATTATGATTAATTTTGTTTGTGCTATTATTGTTGTATTATTCCTCAGTATTAATTTTGTTTTCAAGTAATATGATTTAAGTATTAAGTAATTTTCTTTGTTATATAACCATCATTTATATTGATGTAAGTTTTATGTTTTGAGTGTATAGCCATCCACTCAAAAGGTGGGAGAATTGTGGCGACACACTGCCTTTCTGTGGCAACCCTAAAGAATTCGTCTGTCACGAGGATCACGTGCCCAGATGATGCATCATTACGTCTACGTCTGCTTTTCTGTTTGATAGTTAGTTGCATTTAAGATTTTGTAGAATAAGAAATGGCGTGTAAAATAAATGTTGGTGTTTTTAAAAAGTTTCGGCTCAGATTTTCGAACCTAAACTGAATGATGCAGCACTGTATACTCAAAGAACACCTTCTACCAAAACTAAAGTAGTGCAGTACAAAAGGCTTGCACCCTTTTATGGTAATAAAGTTTAGTTGTCACTTGTCCTTGTCTTGAGGATTGCCCTGCCCAAGACATGCATGTCATTCAACTGCAAAATTTAGCGGAATCGTGAGTTTACTCAGTAAATAATTTTGGTAATTGGTGATATTCCTCAAGTCCTAAAGAGAAATTGCTTACATCTGCATTAAACTGCTTGAATATAGCAATTAAAACAGTTTAAACATAAAATAATTAATTATATGCAATTAATACATATATATAATTAATTTTAATACATATACATAATTGATATACATAACACATACAAGAAATTAATTTTATAATAAACTGTTAATTTCTTCTTATTATCTGAAGTGATCATTCAGAGAGATATAAAATTAATGATAGGTTTGCAACAGTAATGAAAGATGCATCTTCCTGTAGCAGTGGTAAATTATTTTCCAAAATAATTTCATCATCCTTGTAACTCTAATACAGTCAAAAGTCGTTAATCCGGACTCGTCGGGACTTCGGCGATTCCGGATTATAGATCATCAGTTTAAATCTCGTAAGATGGCATGCAGAAATTCTAAAATTAAAATATTAAAACCGTAATTTATGAAATAAAGAACAATTATGATCTAAAGGGTATCAAAATTTACAAAAAAAAAAAAAAAAAAAAGCTTAATATTTATTTGTTTTATTAAACATTTCTTTCAATGTAAGTGTTTAAGTTGCTTCGTTTATGTGATAATACTTTCTCTTAATTCTATAAACAGACATAATTTCTTGTTCAGGTTACAAAGTTCCGCTGTTCAAGTCCCGTAATTGCTGTGCCGAGAATACCGACTAACTTGTCAATCGAAATTTTTTCGTTTTCAACTAACCTCTCTGTCACCTTCTTCATGTCTTTATCCATTTTTTGCAGCAATTCCACTTTTTGTTTGATGGACATCGAAACATACTTTTCGTTTTGTAGATCCTTTGGGAGCTCCAGCATCGGAAATTCTATTTGACATAATCAAAAGTTCAAGTTTACTTTTATAAAATTGCTCTTACAGTCTGAAAAAAGTAATAAACTGGATCCAATTCAAAGATTAAGGAACAACGCAATCATCAACATTAACTGAAATAGATAATTAAGTAATTTTAGCTTATACCATCCGTTATACATTAAATGCGCATGCGAAAACGTATTCTGCACTTGCGCACACTCATATGCGCAGTCGTAAAGGTCTCACGCGCACGCGTAAAAGCCTATGCGCATGTGTCAACACGGCGCATGCGCAGAAAGTTTTTATCTTTGAGGTCCGGATTATGGGTGTCCGAATTAACGACTTTTGACTCTTAACACATTTCTCACTGTATATACATCTAGTAAGACAAATGTTACTTATTTTTGGCTATAGATTGTGTTCCTAGCATTTGGGAATTTTACTTTGGGAAACCCTGTGTATTGTACTAGTATCTCAAGAATTTTCTCTTAAATTTGTTAGCATCATTCTAATAATGAGAAAAATAGGAAAAACAAAAAACTGAAGGCTTCCAGATTTTATATTACATTTTTTTTTTTAAATGTTTTGTGTGTTACCTTTATTTATTAAATATCATGTTCTTCATACTTAAACCATAAAATTCAATTCTACAGCAATATCGCAAAATAACCTGAAAAGACCATATCTTTAGAATTTCCAATACACAGTCTCGCACGCTGGAGGTTAAAATATTTTTTTTTCATACAGTGTTGCCATTGCTTGGGTACAAATTGTTGAGTTGAGTTTTTCAGAAATGCTTCACAAAATATGAAATAGATAATAAAACAAATTCCAAATTTGTGCGTTTAGATGCCCATATTCGAGTGGAGAAGTACATTATTCAAAATTTGATGGCTCTATGTACCATTGTTTTAGATTACCAGATTCTTCATTATTTAATTTCTTTAAATACAATACAGCCAATAATATTTCATGACAACAATTTGAAAAGCAATCCAGATTTTTAAAGCTTTTGACACAATATGCCAAAACGAAATTAATAGCTCTTTTGGGCTAACGTCCTTTGGACTAAAAAGTCATCAAATAGCAAAAAGGGGGAACAGATATTTGCTTAAAATTAAGCAAAATTCATCCTTACACTGTTTGTGATTGGTACAAAAACAGTAAAAACTTTAAGGGATATTTCTATTGAATATTTACAGTTCAAGATGATGATGATAAATTATTTAATTAAATAAAAGAACTTTCATGTCCATAATGCTAAATTCACACAAATCACAAACAATATGAAAGCAACGTTAAAATTTTTGTTATTAATACAAAAATCTTACCAATTTCACAGCCATCAATTACAACCCTTAGTAAATACCAGCCAGTTGAACCAGGAGTCCAATTTGCAGTGTATGTCCCATCGTTGTTAGTTCGAACAAGCATATTTTCAATGAAGCGTTTTTTAGCAGGAGACACATATCTTAATTCTTCAAAGGAATAATTTTCATACTCCTAATACAGAAAGATGGCGGGAATATAGTTATTTTATAATATAATAATTTTTATAGTTAAAATTTTAAATAATAAATTTGCAACAAAAAGTTAATCAAGCACTCACCTTCATTGCAGTTATAGCATAGTAGAACATCTTATCTTTCACAGATATTTCATATGGCGTATCTAAATTAGGAGGAAGATGCCCACCAAAAGTTAACACTCCTGTTTCTGGCTGGCTCACACGTGCCAATTTACGACTAGGATCATTAATTTCAGTTTCTTTATCATATATGTTCATGGGAACAGCTAACACTTCAACCTATTTAAAAGGATTCTTGCTTAATAAACATCATATGACAGATTATGAAAGTGATATAACTGGGCAATAAAAATATCAAAATATTTATTTCCACCAAGTTATTAAATAATATAAGTGATTAATGATATAAGGATATATTCATTCATATATAACGGAAACTCGAAACTACATCTAAACTTTTATGCTATAAATCTAGCCCTGTCAAAATTGATAATTATTCACTACATTTAAAGCAAATTAATTAAATGCACTTTGCATACATTACTTATGCTTGAACATTTGATATTATTTTATGACAGCAAATCTTCTGAAACTGCATTAAAAAACAAAATAAATTATACTTAATTATACAATTACCTTTAATGATGGTGCTTGTACAATTTTACCATACTGATCTTTTGTTACTACAGTGATGATAGCTGGCCATCCACACTTTAGCTCCTCTTGACTACACAGAAGCTCACACTGTTTTGGATCAACATATGATTCAGGTTGTAGCCATCTGATAGAAATATTAGTTTCATTTAACAAAATACAATTAGATCATTAAAAGATAGATATAGGTAGATTAGACACAGATTATTAAAAAAGTTTACTAATGGTGCATGATACATGGAATGTATTTCTCTTTCGAATTGAACTGAAACATAATAATAATAATGACTGCACTATTTAATTATATTGTTTAAAATACAGAAATGATATTATAACTCTATGTAAAGCACCACTATTAGGAAATGAAACAATTTTATGACTAATAACATTATAATCCACCAAAAATAAAATGTATTAAAAAATTGTTAAGATATTTTTAAAAAATTATAAAAGAATACAGCTAATGTCTGTGTATTGAAAACATCATTTAGATTATTTTTTATGTGGCACTCTGAATTTCATTCACAACAATTTCTACATTTAATATATTACATATTAAAACCAAATTTGTTACAGGATACATAAGAGAAAATACTTTTTCCCCCCTAGTTATCATAAAGAATAATTTAAAATAATCTACAAGCATTCAGAATTCTACAGTTTTTGTATAAAATACTTATAATGCTAAAATTACCTAGCTAGTCTTCCACCACTGGTTCCTTGAACACAAGCAACAAAGTCTTTGAGAAAAGAATGTTCATTGGACTGGCTACTGAATGGTAAAACTCCTTCTAAGGCTTGATGAATAGAAGGGGGATGAGCTAGTGCAAAACCTTTAGAAAGCAGAGTAGAATGGTTCTTATAAACCTGAAAAGAAGAATTCTTGTTCTGTGAGAAAAACATTGATGAAATTATTCTAAAGTGAATATTTAAGACATTCAAGCTATTGTTTGACTAAGATTAGTTAGATTTAAAAATAATAATAATTTGATTATTATCACCTGCTGAGAGAGTTCTTCAATAAGATCCATATCTTCTTCAACTTCACCAATAGTTGCTAAAATATTTTATATAAATTAACTGAATAGGCTTATAATTAAAACAATGCACTAAAGACACCAATGTACAAAATTACCATAAAATATAAAAATCTTGACATGAAGAATTACACAAAAATTTGTCAAATACACACAAAAAAGGGGAGGGGGAAGAAAAAAAAGGAAAAAAAGCAACAGATTAGCTAAAGAAAGAAAAAGTTTTTTCTTCTTTATTTTTTTAATTGTAGTCTAAGAGAAACAAAAGGGCAAAAATATATTTTACATAAAAGTCAGTATTAAAAAGAGCAAAATAAGCAAAGAGTTTTAAACATGAAGCCTATGCAACATATAAAATATATGCAATATTGTGAAAATAAGAGTAGATATAACTAAAAATCAAAACCTTACTTTTTTTCAACAAAATAGATTTGTATATAGATTTTAGTATAAAAATCAAAATGAAACGTCATGATTATTTTTAAAGTATAATGATTTAATAATATTTTATTTTGTATAATTATTAAGAAATTTATTTTTTTTTTCAATGTGGTTAATCATACTATATTTAAGCTCAAATATAAAAAATATGTATTATAGTTATTAATTAAATTATTATTTCTATCGCAAAATTATGATCAATATAATATTATTAGAATTCATTGTACTAACAGGGTTGCCACTCAAATAGAAGAATGAAATTCCCTGACTTTTCCAGGTTTGTTTTAAGAAAATTCCATTCTATCCACATTATGCACGTTGGCTGTGCTAAGAGGTAAATTAATTAAGGTACCACTTGAAAACACAAAAATCTGGCAATTACATATGACTTATATAATCCCCAAAGCATCAATATTATAACTAATAATAGCGGTTGTTTTCTCCACTGAAGACTGATATTAGAATTTGCCCAATCTGGATTAAAAAAATGTCTTTTTTTTTTTTTTTTTTTTTTTTTGGCAAACATTGCACTAAATGAAGAAAAATCTATTTAATGATATATTAATAATTTGGTATTTTATATTTATTTAGCAGCATCATAAGCAAAAAATATGTACATTAATTTTGTGATGTATGTCTCATCTGCTGAATGTTTTCAGGATTTGCTAGAGAAAATTTCCTGAAATTTGAAAGCATTATTTACTATAATAAATAAATTTAGATGGGATAAGCAACATTATATGATATGAATAACATTGAAATAAAGATAATTATTTAAAAATTGAATTAGAATAATCAACAATATTTTGGCAAATATAGTTATATTAAATGGTTAGCCTAAGACCAAGGCATAATATTACTGAGTACGTACCTTTGCAAATTAATGCAATAACCTCCACATCTTCATTGTTAAGAATGAAGCGGTTCAGAATAAGCATACGGTAAAGTTAAAAGGAAAGAAGGTCGATGGGCGAGCTCGATAAGGAAGTCCTCCATTGACAGACAAAGAAGCAATTACCTGCAGTTAACCACAATACAGGCAGTGACAGTCCCCCACGGCAATGTAACACAGGTAGTAGACAGGTAGAGGAGAAGGCAACCCAGCACGCGCCAGTGCGAATGGATGCTAGAGATATATGGTGACTTCCTATATGTTTTTACCACCAATCCTATCACAGATTATGTTCTTACTGCATTAATATAAATATTAACAAAACATAGTGCACAATAAAAATTAAGCTTTATTTAGGAACTTCGCGCACACTCTACCCTTCACAGCCTGCCTGTTTCGCTCCTGCTCGCTACTCGTAAGAAACTTCTCCTCTAGGGTTGCCACACTTATCGGAGGGCGCAAGGCGCGCTCCTTATCGCCATCACCACAGAGTTCCCCCCCCCCCCAGTTCCTTTAATGGCTATTCAAAGGAACGACATAGGTTATGAAATTATCTCAGAGGATCCGTACTGTCGGGTATTTTTTTACATGATTACAAAATTAGAATATAAAATTAGAAAAGATCAAAATGCAATTCAGTATATAACAAGGTATTGACACATAATAAACATGAAATAACAAGAAATATGTTAAGATATGAATTTTAAAAAAATGTTTTAAATTGTTATGTAAGAAGCAAGTTTCTTAGGGAAGTGAACATGTCTTCCCGATCTGGTGACAGTTTGTGTCTTAGAGAGTTCGTTTGCAGATTTATTCTGCTGAACTGTCTTTAAGTCTTTATTTGTTTTCAGTTCAGGCAAATTAGAGTCCGAAAGCAAATAGGCTGGTTTCACACACGGTCTATAGACACAGTAGATTTCAGACCGTTAACATCAATTGTGAAAGTTTTGTTCCGTTCTAGAAAGGACTTTATGCGGACCTGTATATGGTTGGCACAGAGGTGGCTTTACTCGATCGACACGTAAGTATACATGCGTACACGACTTTAAGGTAGCACTTACGTAACATTTTTCTTGGCAATGTGCAGATGTTGCTATTGGATTCAATTGTTGCATTCTATGCCGAAGATTCGTGATAAATTGTGTGTCATACGGAGATATCTTAGATGACGTTATCATATCACTCACTAGGCAGCTTGAGAGTTGTGCCGTACACCAGTTCAGCACAAGATGACTGTAGATCTTCCTTTACGGCTGTCCGAATACCAAGCATAACAACTGGTAGTGTTTCATCAGTCCAGTTATTGGTCTCGTGAGCCTTGAGAGAAGATTTTAAATGTCGATGAAATCGTTCAACAATGCCGTTGGACATTGGATGATAGGCTGTTGTTGTGATTCTGTTCGTACCCAAAATGCGCGTAAATTCTGCTGCAAAAAGTGCGGATCTCATTTGAGAACCTTGGTCTGTTTGTTATGATCGATGGGCAGCCAAAACGAGATATCCAACAGTTGAAGATGGCTCTGCAAATGGTTTCCGTTTTCATATCCGGGATGGGAATGGCTTCAGGCCATCTGGAGAATCTATCTATTAGAGTCAAAAGGTACACGTTGCCTTCTGATGGAGGTAACGGTCCGACGATATCCATATGGATTTCTGAAAAACGTGCATCAGGAAGAGAGAATGTGCCCAGTGGTGCTTTAGTATGCCTAGTAATTTTCGATTTTTGGCAAGATTCACAGGATTTCACCCAATTTTTGATATGACGTTTCATATCGGGCCATACATAACGAGAACAAATAAGCTTCGTAGTAGCTGCAATTCCTGGATGTGACAGATTATGCAGATGATTAAAGATGAGTCTGCGAAAGGAATTCGGAACAAATGGACGAGGAATGTCTGTTGATATGTCACAAAGAATATTACCATCAGAATATTGGCACGGTTTTAAATTCCAGTTTCAAAGATGATGTGTTGTTTTTGAGAAGGTCTTGTACCTCCGGATCATGCCGTTGAGCTTCCGAAAATTTTTTAAAATCCAAAAATGGAGATTTTGTTATGGAATCAATTTCGATTCTTGAAAGAGCGTCAGCAACGACGTTTTTTGAACCTTGCACATGCCTAATATCAGTAGAGTACTGAGAAATAAAATCTAAATGGCGCAATTGTCGAGGTGAACATTTATGAGGGTTCTGTTTAAAAGCGTATATTAACGGTTTTTGATCCGTATAATTATAAAATTAAAATTTCTGCCCTCTAACATGTGTCGGAATTTCTTAATTGCAGAATAAATAGAAAATAATTCCCTATCGTACGTACGCGGACCATTTCTGTTGACTTTTATTGAGTTTCATAGAGAAAAATGCTATAGGTTCCCATGTTTGTTGAGACAACTGCATAAGTGTGCCGCCGATTGCGACGTCTGAGGCATCTACCCAGATGCTTAGCTGGGCTCCGGGAATAGGGTGTCTCAAAAGGGTAGCCTGAGCAATGGCATTTTTGGCAGCAATAAAGGCTTGTTCAGCATTCTCGTTCCAATTTAATTGTGGGGATGAATCCTGAACACGAGAACGAGATTTCTTTTTATTAATATAGCCTTCTAACAATTTTATTAAAGGAGAAAGAATATGTGCTGCTTTAGGTATGAAACATCTATAAAAGTTAAACATGCCTAAAAATCGGCGAAGCTGAGTGAGAGTGGTAGGTTGAGGAAAATCTAAAATACATTTGACTTTGTCAGGAAGAGGTTCAATTCCGTTTTCACTAAGGTGAAAACCTAAGAAATCAATAGATGTTTGACCAAAGGTGCATTTTGAAACATTTATGCAAAGTCCATATTCCTGAAGTTTGGAAAATAAAGCTTTCAAATGCCTGCAATGTTCCTCAGAATCTTTAGAGGCTATGAGCAAGTCATCGACAAAAGCGTAAACACCTTCTAAATCCCGCGTGACTTCATCTATAAAACGTTGAAAAGTCGCGGATGCATTGCATAAGCCGAATTGCATACGGGTACTTTCGAATAAACCGAATGGTGTGCATATGGCGGTTTTGTGGATGTCGGCTGGGTTAATTGGTATTTGATGTATGTATGCCTTAATCAGGTCGACATGACTAAAAATTTTAGTACCGTGCAATGCAGCAGTAAAATCGGCTAAGCATGGAATAGGGTATTTGTCTTTTATTGTTTGAGCGTTCAATGCTCGATAATCTCCTACAGGTCTCCATTCCAGACTTCCCTTTTTTGGAACCATGTGAAGTGGGGATGCATAATTGCTGCTCGAAGGTCTCAAATGCCCCAATTGCATCATAGTTTGAAATTCTTGTTTTGCTATTTTTAAGCGATCTGGAGCTAACCGACGAGGTTTTTGCAACCACAGGTGGACCTTTAGTTATGATATAATGAACGGTGTTATGTTTAACAGGTTGGTTAGGATCTGGTAATCTAGTAACTGAAGGAAATTCTTTTAAAATTTTGTGATATGGTGTATCACTAAATACAGTTTTTACTGAATAAATGCTTGCATTTTTCACGCAACCGACGGTTTTTTAAAATGCGTTTTTAATTTTAAATCTTTGAGACATTTGTTTCTGAGATCAGGCACCAATTCAAAGAAATGGAGAAAATCTGCTCCAAGAATGGGTGTACTAACATTTGCTATAAGAAAAGTCCATGTAAACTGTCGTCTTAATTTGAAATCCAAAGAAAGTGTTTTTTTGACCATAAACATGAATAGTAGAAGAATTAGCAGCGAAAAGTGTTTGTTGGGACGAATTCCGTTTTTGAGAATTATTTGCTGGAAGTAAGGACACGTCAGAGCCGGTATCGACCAAGAATGAAAGGTTTGTTCTACGGTCACGAACGAACAGGCGACGTGAAACTTGAGGCAAAGAATAAGTCGCCTCTATTCTTTGCTGGTTTCGTTTCCCTCCCTGCCATGAACAAGGTTTGTACATTTGTCATCTCT